GAGATGTGCATAGACTCTCTCAGTTTGAAGTTGACTGTTTCTGCAGCCACATTACACATTACACTGTTATCTATCTCCTTTATAGTGCTTGGTTACCTACCATGCTTCATGTAAATTTGAATGGCTAATGTTGTTCTTGCTCCTCTTTATCTCATAGCCCTGTTAGCTTAGTTTCCTTTGAGATGTTTTTTATTTTCTAAAATGAATCTAATTTCTAATATCTTTAGGTTGATTTGTATGTGCCCACCTTACCAGTGTTAATACATTTGAAATTTCTGTCATCTCTAATTTTTCTAACTTCTGCCTACTTCCTGCTGGAACGCTTATTAAGATGCTCAGCAGCAGGAAACATATCTGCTGAACATGGCCTCATGGCTGAATCTCTTGACATTGGAAAATAGGGAAAAGTTAATGCTAGGATATGGGATGAACTGTCTGAGGACCAGTTTTAGAATGAATCAAAAAGCTTGAGTGGCTGTAGTGAGGTAGTGTTCGAGCGGTTTCAAGAGAGGAGCTCTAAGGTGCAGGTGGTTCCATTTCACAAGCATATTTTTTCTTTTTTTTAAGATTTATTTGAGAGAGAAAGAGAGCAAGTGCAAGCAAGTGGGGAGGAGGGGCAGAGGGAGAGAGAGTCCCTTTTCTTTTTGAAGTAGCATTTCCTAGTCTGTTTAGAATTAAATAAAGAATAAGGAATTCTCTAGGCCAGTGGTTCTCAAAATAGGGTCACGGGTACAGAAGCAGCATCACTTCAGATCCTGTTAGAGAGGCAAATTGTCAAGCCCCACTCCAGAATTACAGATGCAAAAACTTTGGGGGTCAGGCTTGGCAATCTAGGGTCAACAAATCACAGTCACCTGAAGGCAGGTGATTTTGGTGCTGCTAAAGCTTAGGAACCACTGCTCTAGGCAAAATCTTTCACAATTCCCCTTTTGTAAACTTCCTGCTAAGGTCCCCCATCGGTATCCTTTGATCTTCCATTCTGGAGGCCCTTTTCCTCCCTCTCTCCCAGGGCCTTCAGGTAAGAGGTGCGTGGCTGCACACCTGGGGGACCGGCTGGACCACCTGATGAGGGCTGATGCCCAGCAGTCCCTGCTTGCCTGGATAAGCACGCTGAAGCTGCGTCGACCCACGGTGGGCGCCTTGCTCCTCTGCAGGATGGTGACCAACCTGGTCTTTAAAATTTCATTCCCCAGAGCCACAGTGAGCTTGTCCACAATGAAAATGAGCAGAAAATTCCTCAGCCCATGGCCGTCAGGAACAGTGGGGCCGGGGCTCACCTGCCAAAGGCATTCACATGTTCATCTATTTAACAGGTACTTGGTGACTATCCAGTAACACCCTCTGCCTGCCAGGGAGACAAAAGACAGGTGGGCAGCCCAAGGAACTTAGAACCAAAGTGGGTAGAAGAAACATATGAAAGAGACAGCAAGAGAAAGATAAATGTGACAAAGTCCCAAAATAAGAGAAAAGACCACAAGGAGTTAAGAAGGAAGAGATCAAATCCCAGTGGTCTGCAGGGGTTAGATGTAGCTTTTCAGAGCCAACAAAGATAGCACCATCAACAACAATAATACCAGCAATGTGGGTTTTTTTTTTTTCAATTTATTTTGAGATAAAATTCACAAATTATTCTTAACCATTTAGTATGTACAACTTGGTAATTATTGATAGACTTACAAAATTGTGTAACCACCACTATAATCTAATTCCAGAACATTGTCATCACCACAAAAAGAAACCCTGTCCTCATGAGCCGTCACGCCTCCTTCTCCACACCCCCAGGCCCTGGCAACCACTAATCCACTTTCTGTCTCTACGGATTTGCCCATTCTGGACATTTCCAATAAATGGAATCATACGATACACATGTGGCTTTTAGTGCCTGGCTTCTTTCATTTAGCATCATGTTTTTGAGACTGCTTAATGGGTACAGGGCTTCCTTCTGGGGTAACAGAGATCTTTTGGAACTAGATAGAGGTCATGGATGCACAACACTGTGAATGTACTAAATGTCACTCTTTAAAACAGTTAATTCTATGGTATATGAGTTTGACTCCGTTTTTTAAAAAGAAGTAAAAATATCAAAGTAGATACCTTTGATTTGGAAACTCCACTTTAGGAATTTCTCCTCTAGGTATACTTGGACATACAGGAAATAATGTATGTACAGGGTTGATCATTGCAGCATTGTTTGAAAGACCAGACTATTAGAGACAACCCAGATGTCCATCAGTAGGGGACCAATTAAATAGGGGATGGTGCAACCATGACACAGAATAGCCACCAAATATATAATATAATATAATATAATCCATCATACTATATTTTATATATCATTATATATTAAACTTAATAGCAAAAACATATTAAAATATCTATTTTATACAATAATTTAAATAAGTAATACGTTTATAAAAATTATAATTTATAGGGGCGCCTGGGTGGCTCAGTCATTAAATGTCTGCCTTCGGCTCAGGTCATGATCTCAGGGTCCTGGGATCAAACCCCGCATCAGGCTCCCTGCTCAGCAGGAGGCCTGCTTCTCCCTCTCCCACTCCCCCCTGCTTGTGTTCACTCTCTCACTGTGTCTCTCTGTCAAATAAATAAATAAAATTTTTAAAAAATTATAATTTATAGTAATTAAAATAATTAAATATATGTTAAATATATTAAAAACATTATTTGAGGAAGAAAAAATAACTTGAAAACATAACTTTCTAAACCAAAATGATTTTGGGCACAAAGACTTTAAAGGAATATGGGATGGGCAAAGGGTTGGGCCAGAAGATTTCAGGTAGAGGGAGATTGTATATGGGGTGAGAAATGATTTATCCTGTAAATGACAGGCAGCTGTGGAGACTTGGTCACCCTGGGGCTGGAAGGAGGGGGCTGGGACCAGCAAGAGGTGAGGTGGGTAGAAAAAGGTGGAGGGGTGTGCAAGAAACTGAGGTGTCTTGTGGGGACAGGGAGGAAGGAAGTGTTGAGGGTAGAGAGCACCTAAGCAGGTGTTTTTGTCCCCTGCCAAGATGGGATCCAGACGGTAGGGGACAGGTAAGTAAGGCCGAGGCCAGCATTGGAAGTGTTCAGATCTCCCTTGCTTATAGAGGAGAAAGCTTCTAGCTTTCCAGAGGAGAAGCATATGTCCTCAAGGAAGGACAAGAGAGAGGGATTGAGAAGCATAAAGAAATTAAAAATTGCACGTTGTCATGTTTTGATCTTTTCCTGAATCTTAGTAGATATCCTTTGTCCATGTAAGTGTGGGGGGAAGGGAATTCATATATAGATCTCTCTGTGTGCTGGCACAGAGTTTTTAGAGAATGATTTCCTGTAAGTCAATATTTAAATTGTAGATGTCTTTTTTTTAAAAAAGATTTTATTTATTTGACAGAGAGAGAGAGTGCGCGCACAAGCAGGTGGAGTGGCAGAGAGAGAGGGAGAAGCAGGCTTCCCACTGAGCAGGGAGCCTGATCCCAGGACTCTGGGATCATGACCTGAGCCAAAGGCAGACACTCAACCAACTGAGCCACCCAGGCGCCCCTAAATTGTAGATGTCTTATAATCTATCAGTTCCGACAGACAGTCACATGTGTGCTCAGAGATATGCACAAAGATATTTTCTGAAGTATTGTTTGTGATGGTAAAAATAGGAAACATTAACAGGGAAATGGTTAAAAAAAAAGAGTATACCCGAACTGCGGAATATTATGCAGCAGCAGAAAACCTAGGGTAACTCACCATGTGCTAATATTAAAAGATGACTATGATTTGTTAAGTGAAAAAAAAAAAGCAAATTACAGGGGCACCTGGGTGGTTCGGTCAGTTGAGTGCCTTTGGTTCAGGTCATGATCCCAGGGTCCTGGGATCAAAGCCCTGTGTCAGGTTCCCTGCTCAGAGGGCAGCCTGCTTCTCCCTCTCCCTCTGCCTGCTCCCTGTGCTTGTGCTCTCTTTCTCTGTCAAATAAATAAATAAATAAAATCTTTTAAAAAACCAAATTATAGAAGAATATCTATGATTTTCAATCACGGGGAAAGTCTGCAAACTCATGCACAGAAATTCTGAAAAGATGCCACTCAACTGTTGCCAGCGGTTAATTCTGGGGAGAAGGGAAGTGAGAAGGATAGAAGTGCTTCGAAAGGATTATTTCAAATTTTATTTGATATATTTATGTATTTTGATTTTTTTTTTTACAATGGACGCATTTCTTTAATTTCAAAAATTGGAAAAAATAGGGAGAATTGACCTTACGGAGTAGCTGTGGGGATGAAAAAAGCAAATACAAGACAATGAACTTCATAAAACGCTACACTGATACAAAGTGGTTACTTTTAGTGCATCGTCAGCTCCTTGAGGGCTGGCCACTGTTCGCTTAGTCACCCTATTTGCACATAGTTTATTCACATATTCATTCCTTCAACTTTACACGGGAAAAGAAGTCTCAGGAAGTAAGGGACTTTGACTGCACTGCTCTCCCTTGTAGTTCCAAAACCCGCAACAGTGCCCTACGCTCAATAAATGTTTGTTGAATTGAGAACAAAAACTTAGAAATCAACCTCTGGGTTACCAACCAGACTAGCTAGAAGACGCTCAACTGCAGGGTGAGACCGCAAAGAACAGGTATCAACTGACAGTTATCTAGTGCGTCCCCAGTCCAGTTAAAGCTCGACTGTCCTTCTGGCTAAATTCTCAGGCAGGATGGGGATAGCGATCCCGGAAGGTTGCCCACACTTTTCTTTTTTTATTATTATTTATTTTTTAAATTTATTTTTAAAATTATTTTATTATTTTATTATCATTATTATTATTTTATGCTCACACTTTTCAAAGGCCGGGAATTGCTCACGAAAAGCTGCTGGAGAGGTTGCTTAGCAACCAGACTGAGGAGGCGGCCGCACTGCGCACGCGTACATGTAGGGCCGACGGAGGCGGACATGGCGTTTTGCGCACGCGCGGGCGGCAGCCTGGAGGCGTCCAGAACCTGACGGTTGCTAAGGTGACAGAGATACAACATGGCGGCCGGGTCATAACGCTTTCTGTCGGGGGGCCAGCGCGGAGGTCCTAGGTCGGGACCCCGCCTCAGAAGAGTGGAAGCCAGGGGGCCATCCTTTCTGCCCCTTTCTTCTCCGTCCAGTGTCGGCAAGGGCTTGTCGTCGGCTTCCGTATCCAGGATGAAGAGTGAGCGGGGCCGGGAGAGACTGGAGGGGCCGGGCCCCGTCGCGCCCGTGCGGCCGGTCGGGGCGGGGGGCACCGCGTGTGGGGACCCTGAGCCTCCCTGGGCGGCCAGAAGCTGGCGCCGCTGGGGCTCGGGGCGGTTCTGGGGGCGCTGGGGTCTCACAGCGTCCTCCGGAGTCCCTCTCCTCACCGCCCCCCCGCCCCGGCGTATTTTAGTGCGAGGTTATGTTACAAGTTTTGAGGGGTTTGTTGTTTTAAAATGCTGGATTGAAACTGAGATTCTTGAACATTCGGCAGTAAGGTAGTGAGCGGTTACTGTGTGGCTTCCTGCCTTTTCGTGACATCGGTTTAGGGAACAACTGAGAGGAAAGCTGGGCTGTTGTATTTTTTGGATCAGGCAGCTGTGGTTTTATGGGAACTATTTTCATGGGGATTTTGAAACAACTATTTGGTGAAGTGAGTGTTATTGGGAAGTTGGGAAAGGAGGTTGTCGTCCTAGAAAATGTGACGGGTAAAAAATTCACCTGTGCTTGGACTTGTGGATTATGGGCAATTCAAATGCAACCAACTAGAATGGGCTTTTTTTTTTCCTGTAAAAAGATTGAATTATATTAGATATAGTTACAATGTAAAATTTGCTTTGTACCCTAAGTGTCAGTTGGTAATTGATTATGGCATAAATTGTGGAACAAAGATATTTAAAATAATTAATTCATCTCATTCGCCCTTTACGAGACATTCTTATTTTCTTTTGGTAGATATTGTTTACATGTTCATCTTTTTCATGAATGCACCCAAAGCTGTAGTTAGAAAACAAGGCCTACAAAAGGCTTTACACTTTTATTTATAGGTGGACTTACATACACCTATTTTTTACTGTGTTCCTTTTTTCCTTCCCAACTCTTTATTTTGAAAAAAATTTTTCTTTAAATATTTTATTTATTTATTTGACAGAGAGAGAGAGAGATAGTGAGGGAGGGAACACAAGCAGGGGGAGTGTGAGAGGGAGAAGCAGGCTTCCCGCGGAGCAGGGAGCCCAATGTCAGGGCCCTAGGATCATGACCTGAGCTGAAGGCAGACGCTTAACACTTAACGACTGAGCCACTCAAGCGCCCCTATTTTGAAAATTTTTGAATCTACATGAAAGTTGCAAGAAGAATTCATTGAATATTTATAAACCTTTCACCTAGATGCACCATTTTTCCTTTTGTTCGTGTGCTTGCTCACTTGCACTCTCTAAATTATGTACAGTATTTTTTTTTTGCCAAATCTTTTGAGAGTTAGTAGTGAACATCAGTACCTTTCATCACTTTCAGCAAGTATCTGCTAAGAACAAGGACATTCTCCTACATAATCACAGTACAAATAATGTGTTGGGATAGTACTGTTATCCAAAATGCAGGCTGTATTTCAGATTTTCGCAGTTGTCTCAGTAACATCCATTATAGGTGTTTTTATTTTTTCCAGGATCCAATCAAAAATCACAAATTGCATTTTGTTGTAATATCTCTTTGGTCTCCTTTAATCTGGCACAGTGTCCTGCCTTATGTGTCTTTCTTGACTTTTTTTAAGAATTCAGGTCATGTATTTTGCAAAATATACTTCGATTTGGATTTGTCTGATTGTTTCCTTATGATTAGCTTTAGCATAAATATTTTGGTCAAGAATATGTCAGGGGTGATGTTGTATGCCTGTCAGTGTGTCCCATCTAGAGTCTGATGTCAGCCTGATGTCAGCATGTCTCAGTTTTGTTGAAGTTAGGTTTGACATTTGATCGTTCCATTTATTCACCTTTGCTTCTTAGACCCTTCCTGCTCTAGAGGCAACCACTCTTACAGTTTCTTTTATGTCTATATATGTCTGTATATATAAATGTGTATCTATATATTTATATATAAGCATATATAAATGTGTATCTATTCCTTTTTATTTTTTTTTAATATTTTGTATATTTATTTGACAGAGACACAGCGAGAGAGTGAACACAAGCTTGGGGAGTGGGGGAGGGAGAAGCAGGCTTCCCGCGGAGCAAGGAGCCCGATGCAGGGGTCCATCCCAGGACCCTGGGATCATGACCTGAGAGCCAAAGGCAGACGTTTAACTGACTGAGCCACCCAGGTGTCCCTATTTTTTTATTTTTAAAATATTTTGTTTTTAAGTAATCACACCCAGCGAGGGGCTCGAACTCACAACCCCAAGATCAAGAGTCACGTGCTCTATCGACTGAGCCAGCCAGGTTCCTCATCACCCCTTTTAAACACTAATGTTAGCATTTTATGTTGTATACTGTAACAAAATATAATACATATTATAAACAAATATTTTATATAGATACACTTTATTTGTATCCTTTAAGCCTTTGGGTATTGTTTTCTTTTTATATATAGTAGGTATTATTTGATATGTTCTTTTAGATGGCTATTTTGGTAGTTTTCAATTAGTTGGTTTAGTGTTACATCTTTATTATGACTTCTACCTTAAAATCCAGTCTGAGAATTGGGGAAACTTATTGTCACCCAGGTGTAAGTCCTCATCAGTTAAATGTTTAGCAAATTTTTAACAGTGGAGAAAATATTCCAGAACAGGAAGTCAAAGAGACAGAGTTGTGGAAGTAGAATGAACAGAAAAAGTGAGTAATGGGAAAAATGGACTCCTAGCATGGGGGTCGAAGAGTTGGGCCAAGAATTCTAGGTCATCATGTTGGTCTCTATCTTATGGTTTTCTAGGTGTATTTTCTACTTTGTTTTCTAGACATTGCCTAGAAAACAGTTAGAAAACCCTAACCCTAACCCTAACCCTAACCCTAACCCTAACGCTAACCCCAACCCCAACCCCAACCCCAACCCCCTAACCCCTAACCCTAACCCAATACATCAGGGATGTATTGATCATTGGATCACCTTCTCCTTTTTGTTTTGCATCATAGGCAGTTGTAGGGAGGAAGGAGAAACACCGTGAAGTTGTTAAGAGCATGGGCTGTAGAGCCAGGTGGATGTGGCAGTCTCCCGCCGGTTACGGACCTTTCTGAAACTGGTTTTCTTCATTGTTCTGGTTATTTATTGCTTCCCAACAAATTACCCCATTTTAGTGGCTTAGAATAATAACATCTTAATCTCTCTCATGGTGCTGTGGGTGGCCTGGACTCAACTAAGCAGACCTCACTCAGAGTCCATCATGCACTCACAGTCAGATTCTGGCTGGGCTGGAGTCCTCGCAAAAGTTTCTCGCTCACATATCTGTCAATTGATGCTGGCTGTCCACTGGGACCGTAGCCTGAGCCGTCAGCCAGAACCCTACTGTTTCCACATGGCTTGGCCTTCCTCACAGGGTGGCAGTTGGGTTCTGAGGATCAGCATCCCCAAGGGTGCGAGGCCACCCTTCTCTGATCTATGTCACAGTGTCTCCTCCCAATCCCCCAAATTTTGAGGTTAGAGAATGTAGATCCCCCCTTTTTTTTTTTTTTTTTAAAAGGAAGGACATTCTTTTTTTTTTTTTTTTTTAAAGATTTTTATTTATTTGACAGAGAGAGAGAGACAGCGAGAAAGGGAACACAAGCAGGGGGAGTGGGAGAGGGAGAAGCAGGTCTCCCGCTGAGCAAGGAGCCCGATACGGGGCTCGATCCTAGGACCCTGGGATCATGACCTGAGCCGAAGGCAGACGCTTAACGACTGAGCCACCCAGGCGCCCCTGTAGATCCCACCTCTTGATGGAGGAGTGGCAAAGACGCATACTAAGATGAGTATGTGGGTTGGGATATCTGGAGGCTGCCCTCTTTCAAAAATAAAATCTTCCACACTTTTTTTTTAAAAGATTTTATTTTTATTTATTTGACAGAGAGAGACACAGCGAGAGAGGGAACACAAGCAGGGGGAGTGGGAGAGGGAGAAGCAGGCCTCCCCTGGAGCCCAGAGCCCGATGTGGGGCTCAATCCCAGGACCCTGGTTCCATGACCTGAGCTGAAGGCAGACGCTTAACAACTGAACCACCCAGGTGCTCCCACCCTCAGTTTTAAACAGGCATAATGGGGCACCTGGGTGGCTCAGTCGTTTAAGCATCCAACTCCTGATTTTGGCTCAGGTCATGATCTCAGGGTTGTGAGATCGAGCCCCATATCAGACTCCGCGCTGTGTGTAGTGGAGCCTGCTTAAGATTCTCTCTCTCGGGGCGCCTGGGTGGCTCAGTCGTTGGGTGTCTGCCTTTGGCTCGGGTCATGATCCCAGGGTCCTGGGATCGAGCCCCACATCGGGCTCCCTCCTCGGCGGGAAGCCTGCTTCTCCCTCTCCCACTCCCCCTGCTTGTGTTGCCTCTCTAGCTGTCTCCCTCTCTCTGTCAAAAAAAAAGAAAGAAAGATTCTCTCTCCCTCTCTGCCCCTCCCCCTCCCTTTCAAAAAAAAAAAAGGAACAGCATAATAATAGCATTGTTTCAAAGATTAAATGAGATCAGCTATGTAAAGCTCATAGCCTAGCGTCTGGTTAAGTGGCAAATTATAAATGAATTATTATTTGCTATCCCAGTGGATGGAAGGCAGGGTTGTAAAAGGGGAAAGAATGACAGATCCTTGTTTTGAAAAAATCTACCCTTATCTAACCTAGTGGGAGTGCTAACTTTTTTACTGTCTGAACTTTTTAATGGATTATTCAAAACATACCTATAAAGAGAAAAAATCCTACATGTTCTGAAGTCATCACAGTTCCCTATTATATCACAGAGAATTTTTTAGATTATCTGTTGTCGTTACAGAGGTTTAAGGTTTTGTCTCTCATAAATGTACTTTTATAGAATCAAAGTTGCAGGGCACCTCAAATAATCTTGTTTGATTCTCTCTTCCTAGTGTGTATCTCACCTTCTGTTTTTATAAATAGATGCATCAACTAGCAACTTTTTCTCTTTAAATTAAAACAAAATTAAGTAAAAGTAATACTGGCTTTGTGATAAATTGAAACAGTGGAAGGTTTTAAGTTAGTCTCAGAACCCTCCCCTACTTGACAGAGTCAATCCTGGTT